GGATTTAACTTCAGCCTATGAAAGTACACAACACAACGATAAACACACTAAATGATTGATGTCGGTATTCCACCAAATGGGGAGAACACAATGGCATTTATTTTTGGAAAATCCCTGCAAAAAGCAAAATCTTTGTGTATGGAGGAAAGTGAAGTAGGTTGTAGGGGGCTGCAACTAGCTATATTTCTGAAAGTTTGTAGAATAATTCAGAAAAGTTTTTATATTGCTACTGAATTCATGCTTTCCTAAGCTGTTATGTGCAAAGGGCTATCGGTTTTAAGATCTCCACTAAGAGTTAATTTACATTACATTTCTTCTGTTTTTAATACAAATATTAAAATCTTTAGTAATTGTTGAGGGATTCTTGTCGTGACTTAAATGATCTCAATGGCTGTAGTTAGTGCTTTCCTATATTATAATCCTCTAATACCAGGAACTGTTTCAGTTTGAATGTGTTTTGGCCATTTGCAGGCAGTAAGAATAAAATTATTGTCATATTTCTTGGGAATATTTTCAATAAACTGGTAAAATGTACATAGTTGTTGCCACATTTCTACTTTATAGGATCCTGAAAGAAAAATGATTTCACTGTATCACTTAATACCGTTCAATTTTGTGTGTGTGTATATGTTGGCAGATCAGAAATAAAGCCCTGATTCAGGAAAGCACTTACGCATGTGCTTAAATCCCATTAATTTCAATCCAGCTCATAATGAGACGTTTAAATGGGGTTCTTTGCTTTCCTCCTGAGTCCAGTATATGCTAGTCCAGTCCCCTGGCATAATTTCGAGCAGCTGGCTGTCAAAAGCCTGAAGCTATTGATATGGCAGCCCAGCTATAAGGGAGCCCCAGCCATGCCCCCTATGTCAACATCAAGAGGAGGGAGCAGCACTGGAGATTCTACACTCTCTTTCCTTGCATTCAGGTGAGAATATCTAAACAACCCACTTGATTCTACTGTTCTTGTTCCCTTTCCTTCTGCAAGAATAGCCCCTTTAGATGTCTCAGCACTTCTGAAGCCTAGTAATGCCAGCCAAAGTTTTGAAAGATTTTGTTGTTAATTTATGGGAAGTGGTGAAATTTATCTACCGCTTTCCCTCAAGTAATCTCTGAGTTTTCCCAACTCAGCAGTCTGTGGATGTCCTGTATAAAATCATACAAATTCAATACAATGATTGTTCACACTGTATGCTCTTTTGGTGTCATGGGATTCATTTTAACAATGAGATTGTGTTTTGCATTGGCTTTCATAGCACACACATGCTGCATTCTACTTTGTGTATAATGCTTAGAAGTTTGCAATAAAAGAGGATATTTTCCAAAAATCTGTTTCCTCTGTGCCTGATATGGGAAGGCCTAATTCATCTGTGTCCCCGGATTACTGGACAGCTCATAGTTGAGAAAATACTTTTAAGGAAAAAGAATAAAAGAAACAACAAATGCAGCATTAACTGGTGATGTGATATCAGATACTGTTGGTTATAAAATGTGTTTGGATAGTCAGGTGGCTATATATATTTTGAATGGTAGCAACATTTTGTTTGCCAGACATAATTACATAACTCATATAGTAGCTAGATCAGGGTGGGCAAAATACGGCCCACGGGCCGAATCTGGCCCACCAGCCATTTTAATCTGGCCCTCGAGCTCCCACTGAGGAGTGGGGTCTGGGGCTTGCCCTGCTCCGGCACTCCAGCCAGGAAGCAGGGTTGGGGGCCACTCCACGTGGCTCCTGGAAGCAGTGGCATGGCCTCCCTCCGGCTCCTATGTGTAGGGGCAGCCAGGGGCCTCTGCTCCACACGGTACCCCCGCCCCAAGCGGTGTCCCCGCAGCTCACATTGGCCAGGAACTACAGCCAATGGGAGCTGCAGGGGCGGTGCCTATGGACGGGGCAGCGTGCAGAGCCGCCTGACTGCGTAGAAGCCGGAGAAGGGACATGCCGCTGTTTCCGGGAGCCGCTTGAGGTAAGCACCACCCGGAGTCTGTACCCCTGAGGCTCTCCCCACGCCCCAACCGCCTGCCTCAGCCCTGATCCCCCTCCCACCCTCTGAACCCCTTGATCCCAGCCCAGAGCACCCTCCTGCACCCCAAATCCCTCATCTCCAGCCCCACCCAGAGCCCATACCCTCAGCCGGAGCTCTCACCCCCCCCTCCGCACCCCACTCCCCTGCCCCAGCCAGGAGCCCCCTCCTGTACCCCTCCTTTCTGGCCCCACCCAGGAACCCGCACCCTCCACCAGAGCCGTCACCCCCTCCCGCACCCCAAGCCCAATTTTTTGAGCATTCATAGCCCACCATACAATTTCTATACCCAGATGTGGCCCTCGGGCCAAAAATTTTGTCCACCCCTGAGCTAGATACTATGTTGATGAGCATCTTGTTTACTACTAAGAAAGTCTGATGTAATTTGAAAGGGATATGGTTTTTTCCTAAAACAGTGGGTTATTGCTTAGTATAACTGTGCAACTTGAACTGTAGTGTTTCTATAATGAATAATGCAGTGAAAGTAGTTAAGGTGCCTACTGAGTAGCCGTTCCTTAAATGTCACAATGGACGCGGTAAACCATTCGAATGCATTGCTCCATGTGCTGGGCTAACATCTTACAGATCCTGTCAAATTCAACTTTGCTGTAGAAGACTCGACAAAAGAAAGGGAGGGAGGGATTGCGTAAGCTGCACTGCCTCAAGAATGGACTCTGGAGCACTGTGGCTTTGGCTGTGTTTCAGTGTATGTTAAGCATGGGATAGGTAGTCACGGGGTAATTTAACCTCTAATAGTGCAACCACATCGCTATTGTGTTGTATCCCGTATCAGCACTGGTGTTGTATCCTGTGAGAAGCCTTACAGTTATCTGGGCACATATTGCAAGTTTCAAACAATGTACTGTGCCAATCTATGCTCATATTGGCAGGTGTTGTGGGACAACTTGTCTGCCCTCTCTGGTGACTGCATGCTGATACATGGGCTTGTTAGGGGCCATTTTTCTCCTGTATCAGACACCAGACATGTGAAGATGAAGAAACTGCAAGTAGGACACTGAGCGGGAGCTGAGCAGAGTGATAGTCCACTTCCAGTCACAAGGCTATTTGGAAGGTACTGGAGAATCATCATGTCTTGATTGTTGTGACTGTCCTTGGCTGAACATTTTCACTGTACTTCCCTCAGTAGCAATATGTTACCTCTGGATCTGCCCCATAGCTCAGGGAGTGGTCGCTACTATATGATGTAGCTGATAGAGACGTGTAGCTGTTTAATTTCCATATTTACAACATCTGAAATGACAAGGTTATAAATTAAAATGACCTTTGGGTGTTGACATGCATTTTATACTTACAATAAAGCTTGGTATGTACTATGGAGATCTATCTGGATATGTCATTTAGCTCTTCGTTAGTTCAGCTCTTTGTAGCAGGATACCCTTTGCAACATGAGTCAAGATAAAGGGTCAAGGAAGACATTTGCTATGTTATTTGCATCTGATTTCAGATGCAGTTTTCCCACTCCAAAATCATATCGACTACGCTCCCTTTGTCTCTGTTGCAAGATTGGAGCTGGAGCATACATGTCACCCTGTTGCATCAGGATGTTATGCACAATTATTACATTGTATTTACTCCACATACATCTTTTCTGAAGATCCAAGAGGATATTCATCTGTTATCAGTGAACTTCCAATGCCTGAGGGATCAAGAATGATGTTAGCCTGGTTGCCCCTGCCCACTGTTGCATTAGGAACATACGAATATAGTATTTGCAATACTGCGTCATGTCACATTGGTACAGCAAGTCTGTCTGAAATGTCAAGCAGCTACTTTTACATGATGCTTTCCAGGTGACATTCCACCTTCCCCTTGTAACCCACTGAGCTTATCATGCAATGCTGTATATATAGGGAAAACATTTCTTACTGGTGGTGATTTAGCTTCTGTCCAAAAGCATGAGATCTGATTATCTGTATTTCAGCTTGCACAATTACAACTGGTATACTTGGTCATCAAATTCTCTAGCCCCTTTTAAAATCTAGCTATGCTGTTTAACTTTATGAACTCTTGCATTAGTGAATGCCACAGGCAGGTTACAGCTTGTGTGAAGTGTTTTATTTGCTTTTAAATTGACAGCCATGACCTGTCCCTAAGTGTAGGAAGATTCTACAATCTCAGGCTACTTCCTTCAAGCAATGATATATTATTGTTTGAATAATCTGGTACTGTAGCACTAACTTTTCACTTGCTCACTTCAGCTGTATTTAATATCTCCTGAAATGCTTCTTGTTCCAGTGTCTGAACATGGTTTGCATTCCCTTAACTAACAGCACGCTCTGATTAATAAAGACATGCAGCACTGATGAAGACATAAGATAGCTGGAATTGGCCATTACTCCCTAATAATAACCTGTGCTGAATAATGACTGGCTTTTCCTGAGCCATCAATTCACCAACCAGTCAATATCTGGCATCACCCCTCGCTTGAAGATGACTGTATAATCATGGCTTATTACTAAACTCTAAAACAGGACACACAATTACTTTCACTGGTAGAGTTTGTGTGATCCTCTTCTGAGGGGAAGAGATAAAAAACACTGAAAATATTCTCAAATACTCCAAAGAAACAGGATTTCAATTATCTGCAGAAGCCACCCAATGTGTCCACTATACCCAGCCACCTATTGTAACGTCCATCCACATGCCTAAACCAGCCATCTTATTTTCTAAGCAGCATAAAAGGGGAGGAGTAATGTGGATAAAATGGATACTCAGATAATTAGTGGCCTTACAGCCATTGTATGGAAGGTGAAAGTTCCATTCCATTTAAATGAAGCCATCCTGCTGTCATTATAAATCTAAAAGGTTCAGCTTTGTGGAAGGATTTAATGGTAACCCTTCAGCGGTAATCGGATTAGAGAGGCTCGTATAACTGCATGGTCTGAAGAACAGATAAAAGAAACCAGAGTTCAAACTCACCACAGAGGACAGACATTGAGCTGTGTGGTACAGAATCAACTCGCTGTTCTGAGGCTTTGGTTTTGGCGATCATATACCCCAGAAATGCCTGCAAATTTCAATGGTTACTGGAAAATGCTTAGCAATGACAATTTTGAGGAGTATCTGAAAGCACTGGGTAAGATTCCTTTCATGTTTCTTTAGCAAATAATCAATAAAATGCCACCTATCTTAGTCTTGGGTTGGATTTGATTTCTTTTGGGATAGTCACAGCCACGATTTTCATGCATTCTTAAAAAATGCTTTCTTCAAAAAATATGATTACTTTCTTATGCAAAGTTTTGTTTGATTTGCTTTAAACGACCTGTTTGCTTTTTACCTTACTACCACTAATCTATGCAGAGATTCCACTACAGAACTTTAAAGGGCAAGCAAAATTTATTCTCTCAACATTTAAAAAAAAAATTCAAGAGAGGAGAAAGTGAGTGTATGTAGGTGGAAAGAAAACAAAATGTGCTTGATGTAAAAGTTTGTGTGTATGCAGTTGGCAGGGAGGCACATAAAATGCTTATTTCTATAGAAGTAGCATTTTTAAGTAATCAGAATGAATTTGTGTCAAATATCTCAGTAGGAATTAGTAATGTCATGTTTCCTTTCATCTGTTTGTTTAGAAACACACGTTTGTTGTGGTAACAAATGTAAAGGGTACAAGGTTTTTTCCAAGTAAGCAAATTAATTCACGTGTAATGAACTTTAGTAAAACAGCCAGGGAACTATTTATTTGTGTTTTGGTCCATCCCAATCCTCTCAAGTTGTACAAGTCTTGTATTGTTGTAGATTTGTGGCTTTACTGCAGATCTTTTTTTTCCGTTTTGTTTTCAGATGTAAACATTGCTGTGAGAAAAATTGCCAACTTGCTAAAACCTGACAAAGAAATCATTCAGAATGGTGATCATATGATCATTAAAACGCTAAGCACTTTTAGAAACTACATAATGGAATTTGATGTAGGAAAAGAGTTTGAGGAGGATTTAGCAGGGGTGGATGATCGCAAATGCATGGTAAGAATTAGAACTGTTACTATTGCATGACAAAAA